AGTCTAGATTTTTTTTTTTTATTACTCCATTTGAGTATGTCACTTACTCTAACATCATCACCCCTAGTATCAACAGAATTATATTTTATAGCTAGGTTCCTGCACTCTGCTGAAGCACAGAACGATAAAAATGAGCTGATGACGTTAAGTTACACATTCAGAGTAATGGATGCAGTGGCCTGGAGCTGCACAGAGTCACAGGAGCTATTTCAGGAGTAATTTATAGTTGAGCTTTACAGAAACTAAATTTTTTCCTTCTTCACTGCTCACTTGTGCACGCAAACAGCTTCAGAGAAGGTGTTTTTTTTGAGCTTCTTTTGAGTTAACGTTAAAATATTTGCTCCGAGTAGTATTTTCAGGAGGAAAGGCTTTGGAATAATTAGTCTCTGAAAAACCAGACCATGACTTCAGATATGAGAAGATGATACTACGATGCAGCTTTCAGTCAACATACTCTCTCCTTTAACTGGGCAGGGATGACTTGAGCAAGAGCTCACATTTCCAGCACCACATGTGAAACCACGATCCAGATGTACAGACTGCCAGATTACTCAGTTGTAAGAGATATCAAGGCTAGGTACTTGTAATGCAACAAAAAATCTCCTCTCCTCTTGAAAGGAAGAAAGGATGAGGTCACCTTTCGGCACCATGAAAAAGCAGGAAAGGGTATATACATTTGAGGGATTTGTGGGGAGAAGGAAAGCAGTTTGCTTTCAAATCCGTGCTTCTGTCCACGTTTGCAAAAGATACACAGATTTTTCACACATACACACCCCAGAACATACCTTTGTAACATCTTTTTGTCCCCAAATAAACTTACACAGTGTATATACACATTGCCTCCTCTCCAAAGTCTGTTTTTGTTAAGGCAGTTCTTCTCTGAACTCACATGCCAGCAACAAAACCAAAAGGCACATATGCTGATGCACGTCTCATCGAGAAAAGCACTCCCAAGAATGAACGACAGCCCAGTATCTGCAGCACCATTAACCTTGCAACGAGCACCTAGGTGAACTTCAGGTTTCCACTGCCGTGGCAATCAGATTTAAACACAATCACACCAGAGGAGTGTTTCCTATAACTAACTCTGAAAGAAAACTCTATGTAAAGGAAGTGTAGCTCTGATATACTGAGCTAGTTAAAAGCACACTAGCAACAGGTAAGGCTTATTATGTATGACCTCTTCTCTCACAGAACCACAGAATTGCCATTAAACATAATCAAAACCAATCTTTTTCCCTTCCTTTAGACAGCCTTGCTAGTTGATGGGGGAGAATGCAGAGCAGTAGCTAACTGCAGGGCAGTAATAACTTTCAAGGTGTTGATTTTTAAAAATCAGTAGAACTATGGCTGTCTTCAGCACTTCTGAAAAAATAAAATAAAAAAAAAAGCCAGGCCTCAACAGCACTTACCTTATGTGAAAAACAACACTAAACTTAATAGCCATATGAACTGGCAGCACGCACTATGGCTTCCATCTCTTCTACAAGGTAGCAGGAAAAAACCAAACTTCAGTCTCTCAAGGTTATTTTAACCACATTTCCTGCAGATTTTCTACCTAACCACTGAGTTGCAAAAACCAGACTTTCAAGCAGCATCAAAAGTTAGTTCCAGATGTTTAAATGACTCCACCAGGAGTCCAGAGATGGCAGGTTCGAGCTAAGTGACAGATGCCAGGGTGGGACATTGATGCTCTGAAGTCTTTCATGACTGAAGTACCTTCCCCTTTAAAATAAGAAATTAGAAGAAAGTTAACCCTGCAACAGTTTTACTCTGAAGTAACCCATGTTAGGGAGAGTCTGAACCTACTCATCACCTGCTTGAAAAATCCTGCAGTGTAGCAATGTGATGCAACTTAAGAAATCACTGCGTATCAGAATGAGACAAAAGAATTACAGACAAGGAAAGTTCTCCACAGTCCTTGCAAAAATGCAGTACTAGTAAAGCTTTATATACTGATCTGAAATCAATCCTAGTACTTTATGCCTTTGACCAGTGGTCAGAAAAGGAAAAATTAACAGAGAAAGGGGATATGGACATCTTTACGATGGGCACTGTCGATCCTGAAGGTGTGAGAAAATGTTAGTAAGCTGCTACGCATTACATGCCGCCTCTTAAAGAATTCAAAAAATAAATCCTTGTATAGTATTACTTGCATACACCTTCTCCCCCCAAAATCTGGTTCGATATGAAAGGCAACTGGTGATTAAGTGTAGGAGAA